GGGGGGGGTGTAGGTAGATTTTGCGACATGAATTTTCGCTCACTATGGAGGATATATCGATATTTTTATATTTTAGGTTTTTTAAAGATTTTTTTCTCTGTATTGACTATAGGGACTGAACGCTCGTTTTCAAGTTATAAAATTTTACTTAAAATTTTTTTACGGAATACGAGTAAGATATTTTTAATACTAATTATAAGTTGTTATATATCCGATTTATGATATCTTAGGAAGTTAGAAAATACGCTTCTTAATCCAAACAAATGTTAGAGATTATCCTTTATCTCTTATTTCAAATTTTTAGTAATTGACTTCTTTTGGAATCATGAAGTATCGTGGTGAGTAAACATCTTAAGTACTTGATTGTTCTTAGGGGATTTCTCCTTAAGTCTATAGGGAATGGGTTCTAAGAGACGACCAGATTTTTTTTAACGATTAGGGTATTCGTCTAGAATCTTCTTAATTTGTGGAATCTCACGACTGGAGAGAGCTATTCTTCGAAAGAAGAATTGCTCTTGATTACTCCAGTAATTATCATTATTTGATCCGATCACAAGTGAATATTTATAGTTGGAATGAATTTCTATTGGTAATCCAATTAATAAGTAAAATTTTCAATTTTACGTATTGGAATAACCTTTGTAATAGTAATTCTACTATAATAGACTTGCGGAGGGGGGGGAAAAACTAATTTTATACTTATAGTAAAACATAATCATTATATATGTTTAAATATCAAACAATATTAAGCCCTCTTGACCAATTTGAAATAAGAAACTTATTTAGTATAGATACACCATTATTAGCAAATATGAACCTATCTATAACTAATATAGGGTTATATATGACTATAGCTGCTTTCATAGCTTTCTATTTTAGTATTTTAGCTACTAACCACTCAAAAATTACTCCAAACAAATGATCTTTAAGTCAAGAAACATTATATGCAACTATACACAGTATTGTTGTAAACCAAATTAACAACAAAAATGGGCAAGCTTACTTCCCATTTATGTACACATTATTTATTTTTATTTTAATAAATAACTTAATAGGAATGGTTCGCGAACAATACCTTTATAACAGTATTAATAACAATAATGATTTTAAAATTATAAGCCAGAGGTGTAAAAGAGATAATGGTTTAAACTAAATAGTGTTAGTTTAATCACGAGTAATTGAAAAGTTCCAAATAAAAAAGCCGCCCGGGTGAGGGTTAATTTATATTCTACTCTTTCTGATAATAATCATCTAAATAAAGATAGCTCCTCTCTTGTTATTAATCCTCATTATCTAACGGGATTTATAGACGGTGAAGGTTGTTTTAATATTTCTATCCTTAAAAACAATGAATTATCAACAGGTTGACAAATTATCCCTACATTTCAAATATCTTTACATGCTAAGGATAAAGAGTTGTTAGAGTTAATTCAGAAATCATTAGGTGTAGGTCGTATTTATAAACACGGCCCGGACTCTTTTTATTATCGTATCTTTGGTTTAAATAATTTAAGCGTAATAATAAAACATTTAGACAGTTTTCCTTTACTTACTCAAAAACAAGCTGATTATATTTTTTTTAAGCAGGTTGTTGAATTAATGAATATAGGAGAACATTTAACTCAACCAGGAATTTTGAAAATAATAAATCTAAAGGCTTCTATTAATAGAGGTTTACCGGATAAATTAAAGGAAGAATGATTAAATATTACTCCTGCTAATAGACCTACGGTTTTATCTAGCCCTATAGAGGATAAGCAATGACTAGTAGGTTTTGTAGAGGGAGAAGGGTCTTTCCAAATTGTTACTCAAAAAATAAAAGATAAAATAATAGTATCTTTAAGGTTCACTTTGACTCAACATATTCGTGATAATATATTAATGAAGAGTTTGGTGGAATATTTAGGCTGCGGTAGATATATTACTATAGCTAATCGAAAAGAAGTTTATTTTACTGTTTCTAACAAGAAGGATATAAACAATATTATTATACCTTTATTTCAGAAATATCCCTTATTAGGTTCTAAACAACAAGATTTCTTGGATTTTGTTAAAGTATCCGAATTATTAAAATCTAAAGCTCATCTTACTGAAAAAGGGTTAGAACTGATTAATGCTATTAAAAGTGATAGGGCCATTAGAATAAAAAACCCTTCCAAGAACGAAAAATAGAAAATATCTAAACTTACTCTTACTTATATTAAATTATCTTATTTATAACCATTATCTTATTTATAACCATTATCTTGTTTATAATTATTATGCATTATTCCTATTGCACTCTGTATGGAAAGGTTAAAAGGAGCCTACATATATATATTACCCAAACATTTAGCTTAACTAATTTAAAAAACAAAAGTATCAGACTATATTCTTCAAATAATTCTAAATATCCTAGATATAACCTTAATAACACCTATTATCTTAACCCTTATTATATTACAGGTCTTGTAGATGCAGAGGGTTGTTTTACAACATCTATCTATAAAGATTGTAGAATGAAAACAGGATGACAAGTTAAACCTATATTTCAACTTAATTTACATAAAAAAGATCTAAAAATCTTAGAAGCTTTACAAAAAACATGGGGTGTAGGTAAAATATATAAACATGGTCAAGATTCATTTATGTATCGTGTTAGTTCTTTGAAGAATTTAAGAGTAATAACAACTCATTTCGATAATTATCCTTTAATAACCCAAAAATTAGCAGATTACCTGTTATTTAAACAATCTATTGATTTAATACAGGAAAAGTTACATTTAACTGAAAAAGGTTTACTAACATTAGTTGGTATAAAATCTGTATTAAATTGGGGTTTATCTGAAAAATTTAAAGAAACATTTCCTAATTTGATACCCGTAGTAAGACCAAAGGTTGATATTTCAGAAATAAAAGATGTTTATTGACTAGTTGGGTTTGTTTTGTTTTTTTTGACGTTATTTCTTTCAGAAATAACTAAAAAAAAACTAGGGGAAGGATCTTTTATGGTTATTATTCAAGAATCTAAAAGCAAAAAAACAACAGACAATATAAGTTTAAGATTTGTAATAACTCAACATTCTAAGGATTCAGTATTATTAGATAATATTTCAAATTATTTAGCCCTCCAGCAACAAGTAGCTGGGGGCTGCAGGGCTGGTTGTGGGAAATGTTATTGTAGCCGTAATGAAGTAAATTTAACTGTTTCAACTTTTTCTGATATAAATAAAATCATATCTTTATTTAATAAATACCCATTACTAGGCACTAAAAAGGAAGATTACCTCTCCCATTTACTTTTTTTTAATATATCATAATATATGTAAAAAAAAAAGTTAGGGAGCTCCTTAGAGCTCCTGCGGAGCTCCGCAGGAGAGATTTTTGTCAAGTAGCCGAGTTAATAAAATCTAAGGATTATTTAACAAAGCAGGGTATAGAAAATATAAAAAGAATTAAAAGTAATATGAACAGTAAAAGAATACATTAACTAAACGTCTTATATATAAAATAGTCTAACTCTTATATTTTGTTTTTAATTACGCTTTATTATAATTGGTAATATAATATGTAAAATTTTACTATATGCTGAAAATTTCTAATGCTTTAGATACGATCATGAATAATAAATTTAACAATGGCTGTAGAATTTATTAAAAGACGTAACAACTCTAAAGATAAAACAATGAAAAATCAGCAGGAAACCAACAGATATTACTAATACTTTAGACAAAAAGAATAGTGTATACTAGAGGGTCCTCAGAGACTACACGTAAAAGGCTGCTCATATTACTAAATAGAGCAGTCAAGATATAGTCCGGCTTGATATGTCTATATGTCTATCAAGAAGTCCTTATAGTTTTGCCTCAACATCTCATTTTATATTAACATTCTCACTTAGTTTTACTGTTGTATTAGGTGCAACAGTTTTAGGATTCAAAGAACACGGATTAAAATTCTTTTCTTTATTTGTTCCAGCTGGTTGTCCATTAGGATTATTACCTTTACTTGTATTAATTGAATTCATCTCATACTTAGCAAGGAATGTGTCTTTAGGATTAAGATTAGCAGCCAACATAAAAAGATGAGACTAGGTGCCTCATTCTTACTGTGTAAAAGAGCCAAACTCCGGGGAAGCCCTAAAGCTCTAATAACTAAAGGTAAGACGGAAACTTCTTACCTGGCCTCATTAATGATTGAGGGTATAGTAACATCATTAGAGATTCTAGTAATAGAAATGGGTGATCGCGGATCTAAAATAGATAATGAACTATCTGTAAAAGAGCAACGAGTAGACGGTTCTTCCATTAGGTAAAACCAATGGTAAGGTGTACTCTAGTCGCCGGGAAAGCCGGTTCTTGGGCGAAATTAAGTAACCTAAGATTAAAGTTATCACAATAGCCTATCCTCATTTTATAATATTTCTCCTTTTTGTTTTTATTTCCTCTATCGACATAATAGTTGAGAATAAAGAGGGAATTGAAAAGGAAAATAAAGATATAATCGGCAATTTCGTAAGATGTAAAATCATACTGTAATAATTTAAAGAAAGGATAAAGTATATAAACACCTTTAAATAAGGGGACAAAGTTTATATATACAGTATGATTATTCCAAAATTTACACTAACTTGAAGGTAAATTTGTGATTCATGTATTTGTTCACAATTCACTAAATTATTTACCTTTCATTAAAACTTATCCTTCTGGTATGGAAGAGAAATTAAGTTTAAAACCAATTAATTATACTCCAAAAAGGTTTCATAGAATTAACAGTCAAATACGAATGGGTCTTACATCCACTTTTATAAGTAATACTCCTTTTATAGGGAAAAGATGCTTAAGTAATACAGCTACTTCATCTGAAATTGAACCTGTTCTAATCTATACTAATCCCGATGAGCATAAAGGATTGATAGCTAAACAAAATAAAGGTAAATCAGGTATTTACCGTTGAGTTCATAAAGATTCTGGAAAAAGTTATGTAGGTTCTTCTTATAAGCTGAATGATAGATTTAGACGCTATTTTAATCATAGCTATTTATCAAGCAGTCAGCGAGGTGCATCTCTTATTTGTAATGCACTATTAAAACATGGTTATGTGGGATTTAGGTTAGAGATTTTAGAATATTGTCCTATTTCAATATTACTGGATAGAGAGCAATTCTATATAGATAACTTAAACCCTGAATACAATATATTAAAAACAGCAGGTTCTAATCTAGGATATAAACATACTGAACCCTCTCTTAAACTTATGAGTATTGCATCCAAAAGTAGAAATGAATTAGAAGAAGTTATTAAGTTAAAAAGAGAGGTTATGTTAGGCCGAAAGTTATCTAAAGACCATCTAGAAAATATGGCTAAAAATAACCCATTTAGAGTGCCGATAATTCTTTCTAATCTCGAAACAGGTAAGAGTGAAGAATTTACTTCTATGATAAAGGCTGCTCAGTTTTTAGGTGTTGATATGACTACTGTTAAGAGGTATTTAATGAATAATAAGCCATGCAAAGGCTATATGATTACTAAAGCTACTTCTATTTCAGATTCCTCTTCTTCCTCTAATCTAACTAATTCAAGACAGGCTGTATTAATAACTAATGATGTTTTAGGTATTACCAAAGAATTCTCTACAATGAAAGCTGCATACCAATTTTTGGGTATATCTCATAAACGACTTTTAAATTGTTTAAATAATAACGAGTCTTCGTTTTCAAATGGACAAGTTGACACCATTAAAGGGTACACTGTAACCAAGCTAGACTCCGTTAAATGAGAAGGTAAAGGTATAGAAGTTACTAATATTAATACAAATGAAGTCATTAAATATTCTTCGCTTAGTTCAGCAGCTGAAGCTATAGGAATATCTCCGTCTAGTATTTCAACAGCTTTCAGCTGTTGGAAACGAACTACTTCGTTTAGAGGTATTTACCTTTTTAAATTAATTTAAATTATCTGACATGAGAAAAAGTGGGTACAATTAATATATTACATATATCGTCAACCTAGTATATCTTTATATTTAAAAGATAATAGAACTAAACCTTTTAAAGGGAAATATCTGTTCAAACTAGTAGACTAGAATACTGAGGTATATGTTGTATACTTTATAGTACATCTCGTAATTGAAGTATATATCTTTAAAAATTTAAGTAAATAATATAATCTAAGGATGAAGTTGTTGGACGATTATCAGGTCACATGCTTTTAAATATCTTAAGTGGATTTACATACAATATTATGAGTTCTGGTATCATTTTCTTTATTCTAGGATTATTACCATTAGCCTTTATAATTGCATTCTCTGGATTAGAATTAGGTATTGCCTTTATACAATCACAAGTATTTGTGGTATTATCTTGTTCATACATTAAAGATGCACTAGAATTACATTAGAGGTATATTACCTTTATTTTCTACCCCTGCGGGGTTCCTTTAGGAACCTTAAGGGGTTCCCTAACTTTTTTTACATGTATTATGATATATTAAAAAAAGTAAAAGGGAAAGAATTAGACTTTTTGACCTTTTAAAGAGTCCTATACAATAGAAAAAAGGGGTGTGTTGCATACGGCTATGCATTTTGATTGCAGATCATAAATATAAGGTTCAACTCCTTCACATCCCTGGGTTATACTTATGTACAGAACATATCATAAACCAACTTTTATATAAAAC